AATTTAGAATGCACACGGTACAAATTGTAGTAGAAAGTAGATAGTACAAATTAATCAATAGATACAGCACTTGCGTATTTATAAAGGGAAAGGAAAAGCGAAAAATAAGTTTAAATATGAATATACAAAATAGAATATATAGATACCGAGTACAATATATAATCAATTGAGATAGTATATTATATAGATAGTATATTATATTATATAAGATTATATAATAGTATTTCTCCACAGATTTATTGACTAAAAAAAGAATTGATAAAAAGGCGTAACAATTGATAACAGAAATGAAACTTTTTTAGGATAGGAAAAAAAACAACACATTGTAAATAGTATAAATAAATGGAAAGACAGAGTCGGGAACCAGTCAGAGACCTTAACACGTTATAATGTTTTTTTTTAGGAATTAAATTTTATAGGTGCATTTAAAAAAAGTACGTACGAGTTATCTTGCAGAAGTTGCGGTAGTTAAATTTAGAGGTAACTATCTTTAGTAGTTTGATTATGCACGATGAATATATAAATAATGTAATAGTATATGATGCAGACGAACATACGGCAGCAATTGATTGGTTAAATGGTATATAATAAATAACCAATATATATAATACAGTAATGTAATACGTAGTATATTATGATTATATATTATGATTATATATAATGATTATATATAATGATTATACATAATGATTATATATATTATATATTATATATTATCAAACGTATACGTTTATATATTATATGTTATCAAACGTATACGTTTATATATTATATGTTATCAAACGTATACGTTTATATATTATATATTATCAAACGTATACGTTTTACGTTTCACGTTTATATATTATATGTTATCAAACGTATACGTTTATATATTATATATTATCAAACGTATACGTTTTACGTTTCACGTTTCATGGTCATATAGTTAGATACAGTTATTAGCTATAGATACAGTTGTTAATTATTAAGTTATTGATACATAATACATGCAAGGAGGAACAACATCTTAAATTATTATTACTACGTAATATTGTTTCTCAGGCAAAATGACATCATTAACTTACAAAAGAGGATAATCTTATAAATGATGATTTTCTTATTATCTGATCGTAACACTAATAAAGACATGATCTTCTATCGATTTTCCAAGATTGATTTATCTGTATTTCTTTTGAGGCAAAGGAAAATGTGAACAAAAATTGTTTATTTATCAATTGTAAAGGATAACAAAGCCCTATTCAAATTATTCAAATTAAATCAAATTAATTAAATCAAATTATTCAAATTATTCGAATCGTAAAGTATACGGTTGACACGAGCTTGACACAAACCTGACATGAGTTGAACAAAGATACATAATAATCACATACAATAATCACATGTGTCGTAGACCTTGTTTATTGTGTTCAACATTTACCAGATTACAAAAAACTTATCAGATTACAAGACTGTTACGGATAATATCATACGATAATTAAGAGACAATTGTGAAAATATCAAGATTATCAATTGCATCAATTGCATCAATTGATTATCTTATATCACATGGATCTATTACGGTATTAATCATTTTTTAATTGAATTACGCGAATTATATTATATGAGAATTATATGAGAATTATATGATATTTATATGATAATTAATTATGAGAATTATATGATAATTATACGAACTGCATGAATTATAGAGAATTCAAGTGAATCAAGATGAATCCAAGAAAGTCAAAGAAGAGGATCCAAGAAAATATAATAAGTAGAATTGAAGATATTCAAATTGTATTTAAACTTTAAATTGAAAATACCAAAAATGATTAAACGAGATTTTAAAATGCATCATAAGAAACAATAAAATTTGATCGACCCGAAAATAAAGTATTTTTATACTAAAAAATACATATTGAAAATTCCAATAAGTAATGATTATGCATGATAAATATGCAAGATAAAGTATGTAGAATTTATTTGACATAAATTTTTTATTTATAAACAATAATTTGAGAACAGTAGTGAGAACGGTACTGACCCGTATCCACGTCCCACATCACGTCCCCACATCACGTCCCACATCGCACGGAAAGAAAGCGGAATGTAATTCTGTGGGGTGGATATAAAATATAAAAACAACTGGACAAGAAGTAAATAAATTTATAATTATAAATATATATATATATATATTTGATTTTGATAAGCCTTCAAAGGAAATCTTGTGTTTGAAGATCAAAATTAAAAAGAAAACAGGAATCCTTATCTATGTTGGCAACACAGAAACAAGAAGAAAGATTAACGTTTTGTTCAATGATATTCAATCATAGTTAAATTGCTGTCAATGTGTTCTCGAACCATGTAAAACATGTAAAATAAACCATGTAAAGTTTAAAGTAAACAATCATGTAAAGTAAACCATGTAAAGTAAACATGTAAATCAAATTGTATAATCAACCTCCGGACTCTCATCCCTAATAGGTTTATTACTATCATATGTATTATACATTATCTTGCATAATGCGATTGCCAATGAAAGTTAGGACTCCGCCTCATCCGGTTCATTCCTAATTAGATCGTTATAGATTTTCCCTCTCTTTAAATAGTAAGAATGTATCCTCTCTCTTTTAAGTGGTAAATCTCTCTTTAAGCGGTAAAGTTTCTCTTTAAGCAGTAAAATCTCTCTTTAAGCGGTAAAATCTCTCTTAAGTGGTAAATCTTTCTCTTTAAGTGATAAATCTCTCTCTCTTTAAGTGATAAATCTCTCTCTCTTTAAGTGGTAAATCTCTCTCTCTTTAAGTGGTAAATCTCTCTCTCTTTAAGTGGTAAATCTCTCTCTCTTTAAGTGGTAAATCTCTTTCTCTTTAAGTGGTAAATCTCACTTTAAGCAGTAAGAATGTATCAGATTACTTTGTTTCGTTTATTAAAAATGCCGAATCTAGATTCGTTAATTTTGCCGCGTGATCGTTTTACATATTATGAATCACATGAAAAAAAAGTTATCTGATAAAAACTAGCTTAACAATAAACTTAATAATGATACATAATGATAATGGTTTACTTGATTTCGTTATATCAATTGTTCTTCTTCAATAAACGATAATAACGTATATATATATACTTGTTCGTTTTCACGATTTCTTAATACGTAATTAATATTGTATCCAATTAACTTTTTTGTATTGTTGTCGTCATCATACAAAAAACCAAATTCATGTTATTTCATGTTATTCATGTTATTTAATGTTATTTAATGTTAAGTTATTTCATATTATTCATGCTATTCATGTTATCCATGCTATTCATGTTATTCGTGTTATTCATGTTATTCGTGTTATTCATGTTATCTATGTTAAACATTCATGTTGTTCATGTTATCCATGCTAATTCATGTTGATTGATTTGATTGATAATTATCGTGAACGGAGCACGTTTGAACCGTGTCCCCGCCACCTTGCCTAAATCGTAACGATCAAGATATAGTCTATCAACTTTAATTTATTTTTAAGTGCTACTATAATTTTTATTATTACATCACTTACAAAATATTCATAATATATAACGATAAATCTTCATAATATTCATAAATATTCCTAGCGATAGACATTTTATATATACGTATTTATCTATTTAATCTATTGTACGTGTAATAATGTTATACATATATGAAGTATATAATTTGAATATTTATTCAATTTATAGTATGGTTTTAATATATTTATGGTATAATCATAGCAAAAAATAAAAAAAAATCGGATATTTCAATAAGAATTAATTGGTAAGCTTAGTAAAAAATGCAAAAAAAAAACAAATAAAGTAACCAAAGATAAGCCCAATTTAGCTATCTTTTATCATTTATTGGTCGATAAACAAACTTCAATTTCGGAAATTTTGTTGGCTTATTCTCGGTGATAAGCATTCTGTCCTTCTCTGCTGACCCTTTCTAATCTTTCTATTTCTTCTCATGTGATAAATTATCCTGTTATCGGTGATCCTTTTATATATGTTTGACCAAAAATATGCTTGATTTACAGAATATTTGCTTTATAAAGTTTCCGTACATATAAATGGAATTGATAGTTTATGTGCATTATCTAACGTTACTCGGGTTTAAATGACCTTGAATGAGAAAAAAATGCGTTACTACTGTACCTAATCACAGATATCTAGATTAAGTATAATATCACGTTTTACTTTACTTACTTATATAAATAATTACTGAATTATATTAGTATTTATAATAGTATTTATAAATTATTTATAATTATTTATTTATTTGTTTCATCTTATCTATATGTGTGTTACGTAATTTTTTTTTTTGCCCATCACTATCATCAATCAATCTGCATCCATTTCCCTTATCTATATTATATATTATATATACGCCTGATTATATAAAAAGCCCTATCATTTACCTTTTCTTCCTCCTTGTGTTCGATTTGATTTTTTTATTTATTTAAGCAGAAACTTTGTCTCTTGCTATTATTCAAAGTGTTTATTTTTTTTTTTTAGTTGAATTTGATAATCGCAAACTACTACACATCGCTTTCTTTTATCAAGAGTTTTAAATTTTTTTTTTTTTAATTAATTAATTATAAATTTTTGATTATAGTTTCGTAAAAAAAATATATATTTCGCTAGTTGATAGCGCTTCAAATGCATAACTGGACTTCAATAACGAAATACTCCAGACCTGCAACAACTGATCGCACTTTAGCTTTGTACCACATCGAAAGCCCAACCTTCATTTAAAAGTTAGAGTTCGGTAACTTTTACGTTCGCAGACAAATTCCTTTTCTACAAAAGAAATATTGTTGCTTCTCTCGTAGAAGTAAAACACCACAACCTTTCGCGCAAATCAAATCCACAACTTTTTTTTTATAAAAAAACTTAAAACAAATCTATTAAAAAAAAAAATTGTTATTAAACTTTACAAACAAACAACAGCAAAAAAACACAAACCTCTTGAATTATACACAAGATCTTCCTAAAAAAAACCAAAAAAAAAAAAACTTATGGAAATGGATATGAAAACTTTACCACACAATAATTCAGCTGTTCAGCCTGCGAATCCTGACAATTATCGTCATTCCAACATTCAAAAACAACAACAACAACAGCAAATTAAACTCCAACAAAATCAGCAGCAACAACAGCAGATTTTACAGCAAACTGTTCAAGATTTATCTTCAATTAATCGAAAAGGTTCTGCGGGTTCTATTTCTCCCCGCTCTTGCAATAGAACGGAAGGTCAGGGCGTTTCTGCCACTGTCTGCGCCAATTGTGGTACAACAACAACGCCACTTTGGAGGAGGGCACCTAACGGAGATACGATTTGTAATGCTTGTGGTTAGTAAATTTTATTATTATTGTTATTTTTTATTATTATTGTTATTTTGATGATTGTTATTGTTATTTTTAGTATTATTGTTATTTTTATTATTATTGTTATTTTTTATCATTATGATTATTTCGATGATTTATTCTATGAATTATGAATTACTCTTATAAACTTTGATTTTATTTATTTATTTTCTTTCATTAGGACTTTATCTCAAGGCAAGAAATACTGTTCGTCCACCCTGGTTGAAACGTAATGCTATCAAGAAGTCGACTCCTACTGTCACCGAAACCCCTGATAATTCCACCAATGGAACTTGCCCCGGTGATGGTCACTGCGATGGAACTGGAGGCTCAAGCTCTTGCGATGGTTGTCCTGCTTTCAACCAACATCAAGTTAATCGTCAAGCCTTGATCTGCGCGAATTGTGGTACTAATACTACTCCTTTGTGGAGAAGGGACGAATCTGGGAATACTATTTGTAATGCATGTGGTTTGTATCTATTTTTTTTATTATTATTTTTTAATAATTATTAAATAATAATTATTTCTTAATAATTATTATTTAAATTTTTTAATATAATTATTTAATTAAAATTTTATATATATTTTTTTATTTAGGTTTATACTTTAAACTTCACAATGTTCACCGTCCCGTGACCATGAAAAGGTCTGTCATTAAGCGTCGAAAGCGCGTCGCTTTAGCTTCTTCGCCTCCCCCACCAACAAATCAATCTGGTGGCTCCGACAACGAACATTCTTCTCGTAAGAGTCGTATTCATCATCCTCCTACTCCCGCTTCTACTTCCGGTTCGGAGCGTGGTTACATTTCTTCGGATGATGATACTATTTCTGTTGACGATTTCTCTTTGTCTAATCGTAAAAGAAAAGTTGACGACCCTTCTATCTCTAACAAGCGTCGTTGCAATTCTAATAATGTTAGACAAGTTCCTCCGATTGAAGATTATGTTTGCAGTAAACTTAGTAGTGCTATGTGGGATGATCGTAGAAAAAGGTGTTTGACTCCCGTGGAACCTATTTTACAAAATCAAGTCCATATTCATCAAAATAATCTTACCTTTAATAATAATCGTATCATGGGCACTCCTAGTGTTCCTTTACCTTCTGTCTTTCCATCTCAATATAACGATGGTTCCACTTCTCCTAGTCACAACTCTTCTATTTCGGCTTTATTGAATCCTTCTACTCCTGCTAGTAATGGTCTTCATCAATTACCTCCTCTTAGTTCTATTCCTTCTGCAAACATGGTTTCTTCTAGCCCTCCTCATATGGGTTTACCTATTTCTAAAGTGAACAGTCCTATTTCTACTCAGCAACAATCTAGTACCGCTTCTAGTCAAACTAAAATTACTCAACAACTCTTGTCGCATCGACAAGAATTGCAGAGTGAAGTTTCCCGTCTTAATATGCTTCTTAGTAAAACTACCGCAATTTTGGTCGACTTGGATAAAGCTATTGTTAATGGTTCAATTCCAAATACTCCTTATGGTTCTCCTGATAAATCTTTGTTTAACAATGGCAATAGTTACGGTATGCCTACTCCTCCTTCTGATGTTAGTCATGGTGCTCTTATGACTTTACCTCCACTTACTCCTTCGGGTTCTCCTGAGACGCGTTAAAAATATCTTTTCGATTTATATATATAACTTTGAACTTATTTTGCTGTATTATTGTTTGTTTTAAAAAATTTCAAAATCACTCTTTATTATTGGGCTTTCGATGTGGTTTTTTTTTCATCAGTCAAAATGGTCTGGTTTTTGTAATATATATAATTTTAATTTGTGCATTTTTTTTCATTTCAAGAAATATGTTGATAAACTATATAATCAAAAAACAAAAAAAAAAGTTAATTAGAATAAAAAATTTAAAAAAAAAAAAACTTCAAAATCTTTTTAATCCTTTGTCATTCTTTTTTTTTTTTCTTCGTTGATAATTTCAGTTTGATTATTTCAATTTGATTATGTCAATTTGATATTTCAATTTGTTGATTTTCAATTTGATTATTTCAATTTGTTAATTTCAATTGATAATTTCATTTTGTTAATTTTCAATTTGTTAATTTCAACTTTGATAATTTGTGTTTAACTTCCAATTTGGGACAAAAATAAATTTGGGCAGAGATTTGAGAAATTTGAAAATGTGAGTACACTTTATATTAATGTATTCTGATAATAAAATATGTATATTACATATCAAATACCAGCGTATATTGATTATAAAATATTTATTATATACAATATTAGTTTGATCAAATATCGGCCAAAATTTTTACTCCCTAATACGAAATACGAAATACGTACCAAACAACAATTAATACAATACCAATACATATGCTTTTTTTATGTGTTAACTAAGTAGTAGTTTATCAATCATGTTTTTATAAATGGGCTATTTCTCTTGTGTGATTTTATCATTGGGTTTTTTGGTTGACTTTTTTTTTTTTTATTTTTTTTACACATACATATATACATTATCTTTTTTCTATTAATATATAGATTTATTATATTTTATACCTTTTTTTTTTTTCTATTAATATACACATTTAATATATTTTATAGATTTTTTTCTTTGGGTCTCACACTTGAGAAAATTTATTTAACCCATTATTATTTTTTTTTTTGCTGTATGGGTTTTTTTTTTGGTTTTAGCAAAGACTACGACTTATTTTGACTTGATGTTTTTTTTTCCTATATATAGACTTTCATTTATGGTATTGCAAACTTAAGTTCATGTGTATATATATACACTATTATCGTTATATATATACATTATTAACGTTAAGCAATTTTTTTTTTCTTTGTTGATTCATTATTCTTTTATGTACCGGATTTTTTAAATAAAGAAAATGGATTGGCATGATCTTACGTATAAGTGTTTTTTTTTTTTTTATCATGTTATTATGTACTATTATGAATGATATTGAAGTATATAGTTTAAATAAATCAAACACGATAGGCGATAAGTTAATTAGGTTAGTTATGTCCGAAAAATTTAGAGATCGCGTGATGTTTAGTATATATGTTAAATGATTGTCTTTACGTAGTAAGTTGCCATTGAATACATTAACCTACTTTAAATAATTCGATATTTTACTTTGTCTCAATTGTATCGTATGTATTTCGTCACATGCGCTTTAGCTTATTCCACGTATGTTATATTTATTTGTGCATAGTTTGTGTACAAACTAATTAGGAAATTTAAAAGGAAACTGTAAAAAGTGACGTACTGTACGTACGTACATACACGTGCATATCAGATATGTTCGTTACGTACACACGTATCGAAGTATTTACATAACTAGCAAAGAAAAGTCGTAACTACGTATGCATTAAATAAAAAGTTTCTTATAAATTTATATTAACAATTAATTTGGTAACCATCACTCCCTACGCAGTATACCTCTGATTTATCGATATAAAAAATTTATTGTTATACCGAATTTAGTTGAGATGATGTTTATCGTTTTGTTATATAAAACTAAAAATGTAAAATTTGTAATTCGAATTTGGGGTTTAGAATAAAGTTTTATTTAAAAAGATATAATCTAGATTTTGTGTTATCTTAAAATTTTAATAATATAAACCCATTTTTAAATCAAAGTAAATCAAATTATACGTACGTAGGTAATTATATCAGATATGTACGTACTAGTTATTAAGTCAATAGATTGTATAATTTAAATAATAACTTAAAATTATATACAGTCACCTCTCGTTATAATCACGCTCTTGGGCATGAAAAAATGTGATTATAACAAGGTTGTGCTTATAGCGAAGTAATTTTGTTATTTTTTTATAAGTTGAAACTAATAATATTATAACCAGAGTGTAATTATAGTAAGTAAAAGGTAACTATATACAAGTCACTCTCGTTATAGTGAAGTGATCGGGCTGAAAAAAAAATTCTTCACTATAGCTTATATCGAGAGAATACTATATAAACTTTATTATATCGAGCGAAGAGTTAATAATAATGGCAATGAATTTAAAAAAAATTCTTCACTATATCAAGATCTTCACTATATCGAGAGTTCACTATAACGAGAGTGACTTGTATATTTAATTTTAAATTTTAATTAAAGATGTAATATACAGTCAACCTCCCATACACATTATATAAAAATTATATCACATTTTTATTTAAAATAATTTACTATTAAATATATAAAAAAATATCTTATAAAAGTACAACCTCTTTATAAATACATTTTTAAAAAAGTTCTTAATAAGTAAAAAAAATGTGTAATTATATGGAAGGTTTACTGTACTATATAATAAATTAATATATTGTACAGTAATTGTAGCAGTTATATATATATAATATATTGTAATATAGCAATATAGTGTTTTAGTTATATTATTTGATTTAATATAAAAAATTAAAAAATATATTTGCAAACAAAAAATAAAATAAAATATAAATTTAAATAAATTTTAATATAAATTATTATTTTATAATATTTTAAATAAAAAAATAATTTTAATTTTAAAATATATGAAATATTTAAAAAATATATAGAAACTTTATAGCAAAAAGATATAATGGGCTAAAAATTTTAAATTTGTAATTTTATCTCTTAATGTATAAGCAATTGTAGACAAATTTGTTTGTAATTTTTAGTATAAAGTTACTTTTAATCTATTTTTTAAAATTTTAATTTATTAAAATAAAAATTTTTTTAATAATATTTAAAAGACAATTTTTAATTATATATAGATATTTGTATATAAATATATAGAAAAGCTAACCAATATCTCAAAATTTTAATTATAAAATTATCATTTAGTTTCTAACAAAAAAATTCTTTGTAAAATTTTGATATAAATTATTTTTTACTCTAATCTAAATCTAATTTTAAACAATGTCTAACTTTTATTCTATAGAAATTATTTTGATTTGCATATTATACAAATTTGCAAGTTAATTAATTAATGCCTGTATATATATACTATATATAAAATTAGATTTTTTTATTTAAAAATACAGTATAATTATTATAAAAAATTTTACTAACTATAACTGGTAGTAATTATTATAGTATATAATTAGCTAATAAATTTGCAAAATCAGATGTAGTGTATAAATTAATTTGTATAACAAAAATAAAGATTTTTTTAAAAATGTTAATATCTTAAGAATTCGTCTATAAAACTATCTTTAATACTTTAACAAAAAAATTTTTTGTATATATTTTGTATATATTTAATATCTTGCTAAAATCTCTATCTTAACTCTAAAGTAAATAAAATAAATTTTTTTTAGTTTATTATTATTAGCTAATTATATACTAGTAATAATCATTGCTAATTATTTTTTTTTATCAGTAGCTTTGTCAGTATCTTTATTAAATCTAAGCACATATATATATATATATATTAAACTATCTAAATTACAAATCTGATATCTCTTGGCTACCTCTAGAGGTACTTAAAAGTAGTCTGTCTCATTAGTTAAAATAATTGCTTGTACCGAAAGGTTATACCAAGTTAGCTAGCGAAATTATACCAAAATAGTTTTGTTTTATTTACAATAAACTTTTTAATTAACATAAACCAAAAACTTTTTTTTCTTCTCTTTATTTTTAATTATTTCTTTTTTCTTCACTTTTCTTCTAGTTTGGAGATGTTCTATAGAATAGATAAACAATATAAAAAATAAGCTTTACTAATGATTGATAATTATTAATTTTTTAATAGTGAAGTTGCAGAGTTTGCTTACCTATTTTATAGAATATCCTAGGTTGGTCTTGGTTTACAGAAAACTCTTTTGAAGTCTCAAATATTTTCTTTGTACTAGTATTTAACTTTCTGTTTTGGCTTGTTTCTTTTCTTCTACAGTATATCATATTTATATCTTTTTTCTTTTTCTATTCATTAATGGCTATACACTTTTGTTTTTATATGTTTACTGCAGTTTCTATGTAGTTTTTCACTTCTTTTAGTAGTTTAACAATATTGAGGATTTTGCTGAAGATTTTTTCTTGAATTAGATCTTTAAAAATATTAATTTTTGTTCTATTTTTTTTATCTCTTGATAGTTCTCAGAATAAGATTTTGAGATATGCTTTGTTAAGCTAATTTCTTGCTTCTTTTGAAAAAATTGTTCAAGCTAAGTTTAATATATTGTGTTTTATTTAATTCTATTTTTTCTCATACTTCTTACATTTTGAAAATAATTTTGATTTTTCTCTTTGTTTTTTTCACAAACTTCACAATATAAGCTTTTATACAAGTCTAGTCTTTTGTTAACTAAAGTTTTAAAAGTTAACAATTTTTCATAGAGGTATTTGATCAATATACCAAATTGCTTGTTTTTCTTTGAACTTGTATATTTAATTCTAGTTTGGTTTTAATTTTTCTTTACAAAATAAGCCAATGATATATATTTGCAGAGTCTTCTATCTATTTTTACTATAATCTTTAACCTTCACTAATTCTAACTATATATCCTTAATTTTAACTATATCAACTATGCTATCTATTAAATTGTAATTTTTTTTCTTTTATTAGGTATAATGAGAAGTATATATCAGATTTTAAGCAGTTTAGCTTTTGTTGATGATAACCAATTTTTTGCTTCAAAATAACTCTCATCTATAACTCTACTTTTATCTTCATTT